AAAAGTAATTGAATAATAACCTTAAATAAAAAATGTACTAAAAAAGAATTTTTGTTTTAAAACAAGATACCATAATATTAAATCCTTTAACTATCTTTTTCTTTCATAATCTATTCTAATAGGCGTGATAGTGTTATGCAGTTATCTTATTATACAGTAAATTAAGTCGAGTTGGCATCAGAAATTGATAGAGAATTCTTCAATTGTTTCAACTATCTCATCCAAATTGATAGAGAATTCTTCAATTGTTTCGACTATCTCATCCAAATCACCTTCTATTTCATTTATTTCTTTAATTGTTTTTTCTTTCATATCCAAACTGCCTTCTACTTCATTTATTCTGCTCTTTTCACCCTCTGTTTCATTCATTTTGTTCTTTTCACTTTCTTTAACTATTTTTATATTACTCAGTCTATATTTCTGAAATTTTAAAGTTTCACATATTTCTTTTATATTTTCTTTTATATTTAAATCTGTTATTTCTGCCAGTTCTTTTATATGAAATTCCAATGCTTCTTTTACATTATCTACTTCCTTTTTGGTTTCCACTTTTTCTCGATTTGCCACTTTTACTACCTTTTTCAGCAATTTTTTTAATTTATCTTTTATATTTTCCATTTTTTTAGATCGATATATATCACCCATATCTATATTTACATTCATAAAAAATGAGATTAATGTTTTAGCCTCTATTTTTGATTCATTAAAATGTTCAATCAATCTGCTAAGTGACAAACTGCTGTAAAAAAAAATTATCTTTGTAGTAAATTGGTTATTACTAAGAAAATATCCTGATATAATAGCTGGATAGACAACCAATGTAATAATTATTAAATAATGACTAGCTAAAAGGAGTTTGGAAATTATTCCATTTTTATGAATTTTGAAATCAAATGTTTTTTTAATTCTGGCATAAAAATAAAATAGTTGCATGTATAATATCCCTCCGTAAATTATTACAGAATATAATACCATATTTAAGTTTTTCAAAATTTTACATTTGTCATATGTAAAATTTTCAATACAGTATTGACTAATATGGTCAGAATAATTAAGATTAAAGAGTGTAAGTATTATATCTTTTAAGCTACTTGAATCACCAACCATAATCCACAACCTGCCAAAATAATAAGTATCCCAACTATAAGATAAGAAATAAATCTTTTTCCACAAAATCGCACTATTAAACGTGCATAATCGTCGTCATTATCATCTTTTATAAAGAATCGTTTTCTTAACGATTTATTATTTATTTCTATCGTTGCTTTTTGCAGGAATTTATCAAGTAACAATAAAAAAATGAGAATACTTATATGACTCATCCAGAACTCATAGGAAGACATTCATATGATTGGTCAATTTTTGTAGATCTACCCGTGAATTCCCGTGATAATTAGCCAATCAA